CTGGGAGTAATAACCATTTCAGGCCAAGTGCATGCATTCAACCGTCTGTCGTCTGGCAGTTGGCTGAAAATTGCAATGCGAATGCTTTGCAAACTGTAATTTTGGCAACGCGAATTGGATTTGCGGCTTATAAGCACGTTTATAAATTACTGATTCGTCCACGCTCCATGGATATAACTGTATGCGACCACTTTTGTGCGCAAATAAATAAATAAAATCATTTGTTTTTTTTTTTTTTTTTTTTTTTTTACCATATTAACATAACACCCTCAGCGTTGATTTGTAGCCAGGTTTAGTCAGAGGCAGCTGAGAATCTCTTAATTAATATTTGTGCCTGGTTTAGATTGTTTCTTGACCTTTTTGTATTTTAATATGCAACATTTCAATAGTTGACCAACTTTACTCGTGATCTAGAATATATGTAATATGCCTTAATTGTTATTGTTTTCATAACAACATCCAATTCTGCGTATACTTAATATGATATACTATTTATATCGTTCGATATCGCGTGTCATATATAGACGCACAATTTACTCATGACCCGTTTACCCATTTTTGTTAGGTATAAATGTTATTGTACAATGCCTAAATAGCTTTTACCTTGAATGGGCTGCAATTTGGTTGAACACTTTTATTAAAATTCCATATCGAATTAAGCTTTGTAATTTGGCTTAAATTAAAATGCATTTTCCGGCCTTGACCAACAGACCAATTGAGCAATTTACCAAACGATTAAGGCAATGAATATAACCAACAATTACATTGATTTTGGTTTTTGTTGGCCTAAACAAGTCGTTAAGCCCGCCCGAAGATAAATCGAATCAATGTCAGTTAATGATAGGCCTGAAATACCTTAAGACCTGACATAGATCTAGACTTTTAATAAGGAATCCAGAATATGCATATGCTTTTAATAATAATATCACTTAAATTAATAACAATTACACTTTTAATAAATATTATAATAAAAGCAAAATCATTTAAAATTTACTTTAAATGCCTGACTATAAACGCTTTCGAAGTTTGTCCATAAAAAGCCACAATATCGAAATATCCAACAAATGGATCTGTATTCGTAAATACGTGCATGCACATATGCATTCGGGGGTGTTTGATAAAATTAGCCGCAATATAAAGAGTTGAAATAACAATGCCATATTGAGCCATATTATGCAATTAACAGGTGCAAGTGCTTTTGCAGCAGTCTATCAACTAGCAGATACCCTGTACCAGAACAACAGTTCGTACAATTGCGATGACACATATGTACATAATAATAAACTTAAGTTGAAATCTCTGAGATGGGCGTTGGTCAAAAGAATATTTTGAAAACTCAAAGATATGCCCTTCTGTTCATAGCGCTCGTATAGATACTTTACTGAGTGCAGGGTATTGAAATGATTTTAATGCAAAATTAAATGAGAAATCATAAAAGTTTTAAATTGAACTGGCATAAAATGGAAATGAAATTAAATCGCAGTTGCAATAATATAAAAACAACAAATACAGATACATTTATGGCCACAGCAGATACGCCAGATAAAGATACAGAGACACAAAAACAAGTATGCATGCACTGTATATGGGTAAATATATCCGAACCGAATAGCCGATTAATAAAAGTATGCATACATATAGTTTTATATGTGCATAACATTGAAATTTAAATGTTTCCTATGCGTTATACGCGCAAAGATTTACCGTGTCATTCCATTCGGAATCTTATTGCGTTCACATTTATGGCCACAAATTTTGCTCAAATTGTCATGTGTGCCGCATGTATTTTTAATATGCCCAAATTTCCATGCAGATACTGTCAATTAATTTTAGCTTTATTTGCCTATTGCGTACCTGTGCATAAGTTCAGGAATCTTGCAACATTGATTCGACAAACTGTTTGAGGTGCGATGTCAATGCGAGATCTCGTTCATTTCATTATCCCACAAAAGATAACTATGAACAGGATATCTACACTATAGTTAAGCTGGTTTTAATTTGACCATAAAATGATTGCTTTGTGAATGATATTGGTAATTATATTCCACAATGAAGAGTGTGTGAGTTCAATGCTCTAACATAATTTCGCATCGGTTGCCATGATTCTCATGACTATTACCTCGTCCATATGGGCTCATAAATGTGTCCAATATCATGTCTGTCAAAATTAATTAAAATTTAATTGGGAAGCAACGCAATTAGAGCTATTTTCAAAGAAATATTTCACATTAATAACGAGCTGAGAAACATTTAATAGGCGTTTGCGGAATTTTAGATGCTCTTTAACGAATGAATGTGCCATAATGATAAAGTGAAATTGGGTAGTAATAATAATATTACCAATAAGAAATAAAATTATAATCAGTTAGCTAATAAGCTGAGTGTGAAGTAATTTAATTATAATAAAATACAAACAAGACTCAAAAAAATAATAAAAACATGAAATGTTTTTGTTTTTCGTGCTGCATCCCACCTCCCGTCCAATCGAACCAAAGTAAAACAAGCGAATACAAACTACGACATCTGTATGCTAAGATCATCTGTTTGTTAACTAAGAAGAAGAGAACCCTGAATGGTTCAATGTGATAAAGGTGTATATTTACGTGTTAGTCCAGTAGGAACAGAGAAGTTTAGTTGGCTAGTCAACCCATAGGATTTTATGTCACCCGTAATTAACCTTAGAATCAATATATCAGCAAGCACGCTTCTACGATTAATTCAAGGAAGATTATTGATCAGAAGCGAGCTGGAGTATGGCAATTGCAGCCATAAATGGCAAACAACAAGAATAGTTTCGGTAAAAATTTAATTCAGTCTGATTGCATAGAATATTTTCGCGACCAGACACATGAGGCATACTCTAGATAAGGTCATATCAAAGATATGCAAATGGTCTTTGTCGTGTATGAATCGGCGAATTCCTCTGAACATCGCTTGATGGAACTCAAAGCGATTCCTGCCTCATTGAGCACGGTCGTGATATAACAGTCGATTAAGAATTATTAATTAGATCCTATATTGATAAAAGCAACAATTTTAATAATAATTATATTGAGCATGATAAATGATGATGATGGTGATACTCATAATAATTAATGAGAATAATTATAATCATAACAATAAACAATTGGATAGAAACATGCATGTTAAATACTCCTTGAGAAAACATTGTTTAGGAAATATTTTTGAAATCTTAGAGCATTCAAGAGTCTGTGCAAGCCTTTCAGCCCATCTTGAGTAATTTTTTTTTTTTTTTTGTGAATAACATTAGCACTCGGCATTGTCAGAGCTAAGTACTTTGAAAAGGCAATTAAGTGTTAGCTGGAAAAACATGTGGGCCACAAGCAGACACTCGATAAACGGGCACTTCACTTTTCACTTCATCTGTTTGGGCTCACACGCACACGCATACACGCACAGCTGGTAATTGCAAATTGATTTTGCCATATGCATTAGCTGATACATTTATAATTATGCTTTTCAGTTGTAGGGCCGTTCCAAGTGCCCGAATCTGAATGCCTGGAAAATATAACCGGCGCAGCTAAGTGATTCCGGTGGATGAGCAATGTCCATGTGGGTGGCTGGGCTGTTGGTTTAGGGCCAAGACGCTTAAGACGCAAAACAACAGGCAAGCAGCCAAGCTGCTAAGCACCGAAAATAACCGCGAAGGCGGACATACAAGTTGTGAGGGTGACTGCGGGTGTCTGCGGGTGTGCATGGGCAGGGGATTCTCAGTCAAGTAGCTCGAAGCGCCCAAGTAGCTGCGAACTGTTGGAGCTGTGCTCCAAGAAGACGACGACGACGCACATAAAAACCACTATAAACTTTATTAATTTTAATTAAAAACACTACACTCATTCTGAGAGTTAAATTCCCGTGCACATCTTTTGGCTGTGTGCGTGACCATTGGGTAATGCCTTTCTTCTTTTTTTTTTTTTTGCTGCTGGCGTCTCGCTGCGTGCTGTAAGCCGCAGAACGCGTCCTGGCCAGCAGGCGGTGAACAGTTAACAACAGGAAAGCCCACACAAAGTGTTCCGCAATCGAGCCGAATCTCAAAAGTCCTTTCTTGCCGCTTCTCCAAAAAGTAATGAAATAATTAAAGCTGGAAGCATAAAGTTTAATTACTTTAGGGAACAATTGGAATGTTGCTTTATTGGGTTTTGTATATTGTATGTTAGTCTAACAAATGTTGGACAATATTTGAAGTTTAATCTTTTGCACCATAATTTGTCGAATTTTCTAGTCGAAGTAGTTCTTCAAATATTTGAAAACTATTAAAAGAATATTTAAGTCGGCGCGAATTTCAACAATAACATGATTCATGTTTTAAGGTTCAGTTGATGTGAAAAAAAGCTGAAATTTCGGGCTTGAATTAGATAAATTATAAACGTATTATATAGTTTTTATTTTCTTCGGTATTTACAGTGTTTTTATTAAAAATAACATAACTTAAATTAAAATTATGACTGAACTTTACATTTTGATAGATGAAAGAGCTCGTTCGGGCATGAGCTATGCCCCATGTAATTAGTGTATAATAATGAAGAAGCTGCAACTGAAAAATCTGGTCAAAGTTTTGCTGAAAAGGCGTAAGATGTTCGGGGGTAGAATTGAGGGTCAGCAGTTGGGGTTTGGCTAAGGTTGCCCATGGGCTAAGGGCGCGGGCGCGGACATGAAGCTCGGAGCTTGGGGTTGCCGCTGCGAGTTTCTTATTTATTGTTTTGGCGGTGCGCGGCAGTTGGCCGCTTAATGCCATAAAAAACAAAGGTGCCATGGCGATAAACAATAAAGGGGGTGCAGATGGTCGCTGGGTGGTGGGCGGTGGGTGGTGTTTGGTGTAGGGACTCGCTGCCAAGCATTTTATGCAAATTTATGGCTTAAACACCAATTTTTTGGTTTTTTTTTTTATTATTAATTTTAAATAGCAAGTGCTCGCGCCGGCAACAGATATATATATAAATCAAATACAACAAATACAAAATATATGATGAGCACTCGCATACACACACGCACACACACACACATACACACAATCACATGCACGCACACACACTCGAAAAAAAAAAGATAAAGTAATTAATTAACTCCTAACGTTTTTGGACTCTTGGCTTTGTCTGCGCGACATTGAGGTGAGCGACTCACTGCTGGAATCTTTGGCCAGGCCATGGAGCGGGCCGAGCAGACTGAGCAAAACTGGCAGCAGGATTAGGCCATGTGCGGCACCAATGAGCACAATGCCCAAATACATGCGGAAATAGAAGACCTGAAAGATCTGTGATTTCGAAAAGGCCAGCACAATAATGCCAGCGAATTTGGTCAACGTAATCCCGGATAGAACGCTGCTGCCGGTAACGCTGAGCGAATGGAACGCCCGCTGCTGAGCGTTGCCCCTGGCCTGCTTAAACGAGCGCACAATATGCGAGATGAACTCAACGCCAATGCCGACACAGACGACCAGGTTGACCAACGAGATGGCGTTCAGGGTTATGTCCCAGGCCCACATCATGCCGCCCATATTAATCAGAATGCAGACGACCATGAAGAGCACAATCAGGGCCGACGTAATATCCAGCCCGGTTAGCAGCAGAGTCACAGCAAAAATGGCCGCCAACGATAGACCCAGCGATACCAGGGCATCATCCCAGATGGTCAAATACTGTTCATAAAAGATGAAGAACACGCAATAGGGAAACACTTCTGTATCGGCGCCATTATTGGCCAGCATCTCATTGATTTCAGCCTGGACACGACGCGCCTCCCGCAGCGCCGCCACAAACTTGTCCGATGTTGTCGACGTGGTCGAGTATTGCATAAAGTGCGTATCCAATATGGTAGCCAGACCCTCGTCGTTTAGCGTATAAATGACGGCCTGCAACGATGAACATATATGTCAGATGTTAGCCATTATTGTTTGAAATTCCTCTTTTGGTTGCACACAAAGATTTTTGTTTGTTGGTTTCAATTCGTGGTTTAGGCCAAGCCTCGCTTCGCCGCCTTAAGCTTCGGTTCGTATATAATTATATTTTTTTTTTGGCATATTAATGAAGCAAGATTTGTCTTCTAGTTCTAATGTTCTAAATTCCTTTCAATTAAAACCTTTGCAACGAGGTATTAACACCAAGAGCGAGTAGATTGTCTGTATGGCTACATCGTCAGCAGTCAATGTCTTGTCCCCAGAATGAAGCTATAACCATTTGAGAATTATAAGCAGACAGGCGAACAGGCTGGCATGACCAAAACCCACTCTTGTATGCTTTAGCATGCATTATATACTGTGTTTGCGTTTGTTATAAAAAACAATTTTGGATTTTGGTTCGGTATTCAAGCTAAGTTTCCCTTTATGGCAGCTTTGAATATATCAAATAATATTTTACTTTAAATATTTGCAATTATTTCAAGCATACAACAACATAATTCGTGTAAATGGGGTTTGGTTAAAGTAAAAGCCTTTCATTTATACCTAAACTGCGGTTGATAAGCATAGAATATCTTTTTAGTTTTAAAATTCGCTGAGATTCATCAGACAGACAGACATTGCATATTCCATTTTTATAAGAAAATAGTAAATATATTATAACAGAGAAAAATGTTGATTGAGCTGTGCTTGAGGGTTTTGTGTACTTACGTCAGCGTAGGAAGGTCGGCCAGCCTTGGCGCATTCAGCATCGGGTAGATCGGAGAGGAAAATTGGCACATATTTGTCAAATGTTTCCGGAGTAGGCCGCAGTCCATCTTCTGTGAATTGCCGCTCACAGGGGTAACAATCTTCGCTCTTGGAGTCTAGAATTAACAGACGAATGAGACTGTAGTTTAATCAAATGCATGGTGGCATGCCTTGTGCGCACTTACTGCTCGGACAGAAGCCGCCGGTGGTGGCATTTATCTTGCAACAATCAGAAATACCGATCCAATCGATATAGTCGTCGATCCATGAGGATGCCGGTCGGGCCAGTGCGGTTATCTGCGGGTAGCGCGACTGCGTGTAGAGCTGCACGGAAAGCGAATCGTTGTTGCATTCAACGCCGCCGCATATAAAGTTCTGATGAGCCGGATTGCTGTAGTTCAGGCCTGGCTTAAGCACCCAGTAGACGGGCGCACCCATGGCCAGTAGATCGTCCATGTAACGGAAATACTTGACCACATGCGAATCTTTGGGCATGGACATTTCCTGATCCAAGCCTGGTTCAATTGAGGGCATGACCATCAAAGACAGGGCCGTGACCACAGTGAAGATAAGCAGCACGATAATCTTAACCGGTCTGAAATGCATGAATTGATTGACGGCTCTGACTCACTCAAAATTCAAGGGTCACTCACTTCGATAGCAAGAAGGGCGCATAGAAGTTCTTGAAGAGCTGCTCCAGTACGCCAACCTCATGGGCTTTCTGCGGCTTCACCTTGCTGCGCACACAGCACAGCATGTCCAGGCGACCGTCCAGATAGCGTCGCTCATCGATGGCCATCAGAGCCACAAAGGCGGTGATCTGCAGCAAGAAGTCCAACAATATGGCGATGGCTGCGTACATGGCGAATGTCTTTACGGCGGGCATCTCGGAGATGGCGCCAATGGCAAAGCAGGCGAACTCGCTGCTGGCCGTTTGCAGAATGGATGGTCCCACCTGGCCGATGGCCTCGCCGATGGCCTCGTGTGTGCTCGGATAGCGACTGTGATCCAGGCGCTGATAGGTGTGCACCATTATGAAGATATTGTCAACGCCAACGGCGAGCACCAGGAACGGTATCACCTCGATTGCCAGCATAGTGGTTGTCACGCCCACATATCCCCAAAAGCCCAGGCTGCAGATGACAGAGGCCAGCACAATAACGATTCCACTCACGGCCAACATGATGCGCGAGTCCCTCAGGAAGCCGACACAGCTACGTATGCGGCCCAGCGCGATGGCCACGTAGAGAAACATTACCACATAGCTGATGACCACGGTGCCCACCTCGCCCTCGGATAGCTCGACAATGGCATCCTGTATGGAACGCTCCGCAGAGTAGGCTATGTCCAGGCGTGTGCTGGTGTAGTTCCTCATGAAGTCAATGAAGCGTTTCTCCCATTCGAAGCTAATATCCAGCTTGCTGACATCGTTCTGGTTCTTGCCCAGAAATGTCAATACAAGGCCAGTGGCTAGCATATAGTCGGGATCCTCGCCACTCGCAACAGCTGGCATGCCGCCCACAGCAATGCCCGGCTCAATGGGTCCGCCATAGGTGCCGAAGCAGTCCTCCATCATTGGCACACTTTTTATTGTGAAATTATGATAATTATTATTATTATGCATGCATTTATTGTATGCCTATAATTTTACGGTTTCGGTACGCTCTCTACGTAATTTGAAAGATTTATTAGATATTTCAGACAACTTATTCTTATGCTTACTTAATTTAGCCTGACTAGGCTTCTGTATCTGAACCCAAAGCCTGGCAAAGGCAACCAAAAATTTTCCAATATAATATTGAACGTATATTTCCAAGGATGTTTATGAAAATTCAATTCACACATTCTTGATAGAATCCTATCTTTCTCGGTGGAAAATGCGGATCAAAGATTTTATGAGCGAAGATACAAGATCTTTGTAAACATTCATCTGATGCATGTTTCACACTTTTCGAGCAATACTTTAAATGCTTTAAATTCCACTGTACGCCCTCAAACTTAAGACGTTCTCGAGATAGAACGGTTTGATTAAAATTTTCCAAGGGGGGAAATGGGTGATAAAGTTTAATCAACCATTTGAAGCACATAACTTGCCACGGCCAAAGACGGGGAAAACCCGCTGATTGGAAATGCGAGCTGAGTTGACATAGCTATGTTTGCCTTTCACAGCTTGAAGGTCCACCTCTTTCTATCATATGGCTCCAATAGGAACAAACGATTGAAAATGAAATTTAAGGAAAGTTATTTCATTGTTTATCAAGGACAAGCAGCTATATTTGGCACACCGCAGGTTAAATATATTCGCAGACACAAAGCTTAGAGGTTCATTTAAACAAGAACTTTTTACCACACTGGGATATAAAATATGTAACAGACTAATACAGCCAGTGTTGTTTAATGTTTTTTAAGTATCAAATCAGCTGCTAGTCAGCTGTTATTGATCTTAGCTATTTACTGAACACTAGCTTGCCAGTGTTGTGCAAAGGGCAAACACTTTTTGTACAGAGTGGGATCGTGACGGGTTAGGAAATGACGAAAAATATGAATAAATTAACAAGTGTCTAACAATAGAAGCTGATGTGTTAAGAAGCTCGTTGTTGTCGAGGTTGTTTTTCATGCAAAACTCACTTGTAGAGCTTTATGGTTTGGTAGGTTTCTGTTGATCAGATAAGAAGTAAAGTGGAACTAATAAATGCCAATTGTGGTGAAGATATCTTGAAAAACCGAAACTTTTTTCTATATATATGACAGCTCAATGCTCTAGGGAGAGAGAGAGAGAGAGAGAGAGAGAGAGAGAGAGAGAGAGAGAGAGGCAGAGGCCCTATTTAAATTCCTTAAATCTATTCTCCTTGTTACTCCTTCTTTCTTAGCCTTGCAAACTCAGACTTTGAATACAGTTAAGATTTTTCATATATGTAACTTGTTGGGACTTACCGCAAGCAATCCTCCAATTGATTCAGATAGTTTATGGTATAGTTATTGGCGTCCACATAGGAGCTTTGGAATTTGGACATGTCGTGCTGGAAGTAGCCATAGACGGACTGTATGACACAGTCATCGACGGTGGGTGTTAGGCCGGGATAGAGAACTGGCGCATAGCATATCTTGTCCAATCCGGCGTCCTCTGACATGCCCAGCTGCATAATCTGTTCCTGCAGCTCGAATACCTCCTGCAGGAAACTCTGCTCAAAGGCTGGACCAAACGTGAGATTTCCGTTGATTGTCTCGTGTGTAAACTGCGATGACAGACAAAGAGTCCAAGAGATAGAGATAGATAGAGAGAGAGAGAGAGTGAGAGGGAGGGAGGGGGAAAGGATGAGTGAATACTTTGTTGTAAATGAGAGAATATTTACCGTGTTTTTGTTTACTGGCTTCACAAAGAGCTGATTGGTGCGATAGAAGGGTCCAAAATGCTGATCGAAATAGTCCTTCTCGATGCGCGTCTGACTCTGTTCGCTGGCCCACAGCTCGACGGGATCGGTGGTTACGTTCATGTAGACTATACCATAGCCGAGCCCACCAATGGCCCAGGAGCACAGAGCCAGCACCAGGACCGGATGCTTGGCACAGAAGGTGCCCCAGCTGCGACAGCCGCGATACAGAAACTCGCCGTATAAGGTTGGCATACAAACATTGGCGCCTCGACGATCCCCGGTGGCACCCCAGCAAATGAAGCCTGTTATCAGCAGGCCCAGCACCAAGGCAACTATAAATGTGATGCCATACAGTCCGGCCACCTGCCACGGATCCACGGGCCCAGTTGGCGCCTCAGTCAATGGGCACGACTCCTCGCAATCGATGCATGCGCAGGCATAGTTGCCCTCATAGCTCTGTCCGCAGTCGAGCGGATGCACCTCCAGATAGTAATCGTCGGAGCCTTCGGGCGCATCCTCCGACCACATATAATTGATAACGAACGGCACATAGTCGCTGTTCTCCGCATCGCCCATGAAGTTATACCATTTGCGATAATTACAGGTCTTGGCATTGTAGGCACCACAGCCCAGATCCATGGCGGGTCGACCCGTTTGCGGATGCTGTATGCTGGCACAGCTGTTGTAGATTTTCATGACGCTCTCATCTTGGATGCGATAATCAATGTGCTCCACAAAGTCCACGTCGTCTGGATTCTTTGCCAGGTAGGCGGTCAAGAAGAGCGAATGATTTTGGGCACAGGTCATAGAGCAAACGGTCAGTGCCATGTTCAATGTACAGGTTGGACACCTTGAATAGACACCATCGGCCTGCGTCAATCCTCCGTCCATGGTTACAATCTGTTTTGCATCGCAGCAAAGCTTTAGCTCCTCGTCCCCATTTTCGCCCTTGTATTCCGCATACAGGGTGGGGCAGCGTTTGGCAAAAATGGCCTCAGAATCCGCATTGTTTACGGCCAGGGGGGGACCAGAGTACGCCAAATTCTGTGCATGTTCACCAATCATATGGCTCTCTCCATACCAAATGCAATCGGCCCTCGCGCCCAGCTGCACAGCCGTTGCCAATAGCAGCGCGACCAGTTGCAATTTCACTGCCATTTCAGGCCACAAAAGAAACAAAACAACAACAAAAAATAAATAAATAAACGAAAAAAAAAAAACAAATAAAAAAAAAAACGAATTTTATTTGCAGCACAGTTGACCAGCAGCCACTTTAAGCGCAACAACCGAGCAGCTCGTTAACTGTCTAACAACTGATTAATCAATTGAAATTAAAAACCAGCTAGCTATGTGGGTAGCAGTATCGAACTGAAGTGCTCTCTGCTGGGCATTGATTAGATTTCGGTGCTGATTCGGCGATTAACCAGCTCTGAGCTCCATTAACAGCCCAGCTGCGGCTTATCTGGGCCGGAGGCAGATAAGCCGCCCGTTGGCAGCCGATTCGGAAATCGATTAAAGTTCCATTTTTCTTGTTGTTGTTATTGTTGTGGTATTTTCAATTCGAGTAGCAACAAAACTACTTTATCCCTCAAAACTGGATAGGGTCCAATAACTAAAATATATATGTACACATATATATATATATATATAAAACATAAACTTTTAAACCTATGTTGTCATTTGCACTGGGCTAAATGGTCTGGTTCCAGCTTCCTTTACCGAAATAACACAATCTATAATTGATCATTAGTAGATCATGATTTTTTTATATCAATAATAAATATATTAACTAACCACCCAACTATCATTACCATGGCGAAGATTAAATACCCTAGCAGAGAAGAATGTTAATAATAATTTCAAGAGCAGAACAATGTAACTATTATAGATAGTAGTTCAATGTTCATGGGATTTTACTTGTACATGAGGAGCAAAGCAAAATAGAGAGCATATAGAGAAAGAGAGTGAATGAGATAGAGAGATAGAGAGGGGAGAGAGAGAGAAGGAGAGAGAGAGACAGACAGAGAGAGAAAGAAAGAAACAGAAGAGATAAAGATATTGAAAGGGGATAGAGAGAGAGAGAGAGAGAGAGTGAGAGAGAGAGAGAGAGAAAGAGAGAAGGTGGACGAGGACAGAGAGAGAGAAAAAAAAGGAGATAAAGTTAAAGCTGGAAAGAGAGGGTGGAGAGAAAGAAAGGGGGGAGAGATATACATGGAGTGTGGGAGAAAGAGAGAGGGATACATAGAGTATGAGAGAGAGAGAGAGAGAAAGAGGGAGTACAGTAGAGAGAAATTAAGAGACATGAAGTATCAGAGATTTAAATAGAGATAGAGTTGACGAAGAGATTTGCTACACAATTTCGTGGTATAATGTTTAAATTGTGATGTATTGTGGTAAGTCCAGCTTGAATTCGTGAGAATCGCGTAGGAGGGCGATATTTAACAATTCCTTTTTTATGTGTAAATTACATCGTAGCACGAAAAGCTAAACCTACGACTATATGCACTCATATGTTTATACATGTTATATGTATGTGTTATTCCTCCCACATGCATGCATGCATGCTTATATACAAATCTAGATTATTTTATTATCCAACCAAGATGGCATTTAGAAAAACCCAGCACTACCAGCTGTCAGTCAGTCAGCCAGTCGGTCAATCAGTCAATCAATAAAACGATCATTTTTATTTTCCTTAGTAGCAATAGAAGAAGATAATACATAAAATGGCTCGTTAGAGGTTTTTGTATGTGATTCACTTGGTCATTCGTCACGGCCTAATGGCTTTTGTTACCTTGCCATGTTGCGTCTGGGCGCTCTATATATTTTTTTTATGGTATGCAAGTGTTTTAATAATTTTCAAGACCCCGGCAGCTGTCGCTTATCGTGAGCGGGCTAAACAGGTGTTCACTTGAGAATTCGACAACTAACGAACGCGCAGTCAAATGGCAAATAATTTTATAGCGACTTACACTTATCGCGAGCAGCTGCTAAAACAAAAAGAAACACTCATCGACAGATCGCTACCTCAGCTACCCAAAGAAGCCGGCGTCACCAGGCCTGTGAATAACCCATTAGTTTAGCCAGGTGTGTGTTCGGTGTAAAAAATGCGCTGATAAGCAATATATATGCCAATTAGAAATGTCAGCAATAGGGTCTTATTACCCAGCTGTAAGCCCTAACGTGCGATGCGTTAGTTGAGGGCTGGAACCTAATTATAGTCATCTTTAGATAGGTTTGTATTGCTATCAATACTTAAATCGTATATTGAAGATCTTATCAAACGAAATGGTTATAACAAATTGTACTTGGTATAATTTGAACAATGCATTATTATTATAAGCGGGCTCAGCTCGTTATAATTCGCATTATCTCAATTATTTTTGTAATAATGTGATATTTCTGAAGAATAATGTGGCTGGCAAGGCAAACGCTGATATTTGAGTCAGAAAATTTGAATTCATGTGCTACCAGGCTGGTTCAATAAAATCAAATAGTTAAGTAAGATATGGAAAAAAAGTTTTACTACTCGAAACAAAAAAATTGTGTACACGAAGCAACAGCAGCGTGGAATGGGTATACAAACACAAACAATCAGGAACACAAGACAGAAACACAATCGCAACAATTTGACTCGCCCGAAGATTTGGCCGTAGTGCCCTCAAATCAAAAGGCCAACAGCCAGGTGCATCTGTCGGTGCAGCCAAAGCATTTTTGTAAGTCACACAGCCGAACCCAGATGCCAGCCAAGACTAGATAACCATATAGAGACACACTTTTCCAGCCAGCAACGCACGCCATCTTGAGGACTTGGCCGGCGAGTATCATCGATTGGTGCGGGATATCGAGTGGCATTTGCCGGGGGAAGCGGCCAATTCGGGCAGACGCTTGACAGCTGGCGCCAGCCAAGTGCTCTTCAGGTATAGCCATCAGGTCAGGGAGCCTGCGGACTGGCAGCCAGATTTTCAGCAGGATTTGGAAGAGGATAGTGGCGATTATACCATTGGATTTGTGGAGCTGTTCCGCCAGCGTATGCACTACGATCGACTGGGCATACCGGTGACAACATTAGAACTCATCTATATGGGAGATCGCGAGCGCGAATGGCGCCGACAGCAACGCAATGAGCGTGAGCGTGAGCGAGAGCGAGAGAGGGAACGGGAGCGGGAGGAGCTTGAGGTAGAGACCTGCCAGTGCCAGCAGCGCACATGCCAGGACAGCTACACCCAAACTGAGGGTGAACGTATCCAGCTGGGTCAGCGTCTGGACGGCGGCTATCGAGCACAGGAGGTGTGTGCATGCGGCTACATGGAACCGGAATCACCAGCTCCATGCGTTGAACTCTACTGTGCGGCCGACTTCAATGGCGACTATAACGAGCCAATCCACAATATGGAGCCATGGCAGACGGCATGCGATGATTTGCCTGAACTAGAGTTCTATGAGCCGGTCGACCTACCAAATCCGTTGAGTCCATACACTGGCCAGAGCCAGCAGGATCGACCATACGCACAATCCAGTCAGTACTTTGATGTGTTGCCGGTGCCGTCGATGCATTACCAACAGCCGCTGTCGGAAAATCAAGCGCCAATCGACTCGCTATTTGAGCCGGAGCCGTGCCACACTGCAGCGGAACGATCGGTAGATTGCGGCTGCTACAGCTGCCAGGCTATGCACAAAGTGGAAAGCATGAAGAGCAAGCGCATGATTAATACGGCAGCGCCACCGCCGCCGCCGCCGCCACCGCCGCCTATACCACCACCGCCACCACCGCCGCCACCAACAGCAACAAGCCCAACAATAACAACAGCACCAGCACCAGCACCACCACCCCCACCACCACCACCCTACGTATTGCCCACAGCGCCGAATGAGCGCAGCAGTTCGGCACATCAAAAGAAGGGGGAGATCCGAAAGCCGGAGATGAAACTGGATGCCTTTGCGGCCGATCCAGTGAAATCGAGCCAGAGCCAACTCAAGAAGCCACATGCACCTGGCTTCCGCTATCGCTTTCCATCAATATCGAATCACAGCGGCAAGCGGACACAAAGTCTGGAGTCCAATGAAAATGTCGAACTGACCCATCGGCTGCGCCGCACGCCCAAAATTGTGAATCTGCCCGGCCGGGTGGCCGCCCAGCAGCATGCGGCAAAGCGGTTCGCTAAATGCCAGTCGCACAGCGTGGATACCGCGGATGAGGTGCAGCTGCAGGTGCTTTTGGCACCGGGCACACCTCGTTTGCTGCTCAACGAACAGAATATGTCCGGTCTGATGAAAACCAAGCCAATTGTCCATACAGAGACATCGTCGCTGCAGCAGCTCGATCATGAGCTGGACGGCATGCCAGAGTTTCCACAAACAGCTGCTCAGCTGTCGTCCGAGTGGAGTGGCATCAAGAACGGCTCGGCGGACACCCTAAACGAGGTGTGGTGCAATCCGAGCGCCTTTGACAAGACTCGCCCACCCGGCGGCTTGTATAGTCCGCGCGAGCGGATCAAATATTTGCCAATCGATGCATTGAATGTTGGCCATGTAGGCGCACCCATACTGGGCGAGGAGGCCGCACGCGCTGCCATTGAGCGCTGCGCCTACTTGTCCCGGGAGTTCGACTGCCAAAGCCGGGAGCAGCGTGCCCAGGACATTGCCTTGCGGCTGCGCCAGTTGCGTCTGTTTCAGGATAAGGCCAGCCGCAATTATATGCGCATGCTGAGCGCCATGGGATCGATCGACTGGCAGAAGCCAAGCATCGGGGACACAAAAGGCATACACTTCGAGTGTCCACTACGCATGCCCGGCTGTTCGCGTCTGCTCAACGAATCGCTACTTGCCCACTTTCTGGAGGTGCATCTGAGTGAGCCGGGTCTGGCTCTCAATGAGATCTACGAACGGGATCAGGTGCTGATCATGTTCCAGCCGCGCTCCTTCAAGCGGTCGCAGAACGTCTGCCTATCGATGATCGTCTATGCTGGGTACAAGAATAAACCCTTCGAGCTGCCCCACATGCATTACTCGCACGTCTACAATGCGGGCCTGCCCAAAGGCTATGCCAAATACACGGGTCACATGCCACTCTTTGTGATGGCCTGTCGCACCCGACTGCAGGCCAATGAGCGTACAGGCGGGCAACCTCTGCAGCAACAGCAGACGCAGGGATCCACGGATTTCCATTCCGCAACGGCAAACGCATCCAACGCCACATCCGAGAGCCCGTCTGCCGCCGAGGAGGTGCGCATGGGCGGTGAGAACGTAATGGCCCTGTGGATGGTTAGCCTGGAGCTGCCGCAGCCGGTGCACGTG